CTTCGCCACTTGAATTTCCAATTGATTTATTAGCTACTAAATCTAATTCCTTGCTTTTTAAACCATTTATTACTATATCTAAAGTAATGTTATTTCTACCATATTTAATTGCGGATTTAACATCACTATAAGAATCGGGAATGGCATTCAAAAGCACAATCGAAGAGTATTCATCAATATATTGATCTCCACTCAACTTTATATTTTGAATTAGTTTAGTAAAAACATCTATATTCTCATCAACACTCTTCTTAGTGTCTAGTTTGAATTGGAAAATTTTTTCAAGCAAGAACAACTTATTTGACAAAGTTACTTCCGTGTACAAAGCATCTAACCTTTCCAACAATTGTTTTGCCCTAAAAAACTTACCTACTTTCTTAAGCACATTGTCAGTTAAATGCAACACAATACATGCACATGCACATTCATCTATTTCAACACGTTTTTCCATATGTGTATCATCATCAAACATACCATCTATTGCTCGAAAAAGTTTTTGAGTAATTAAAACACTTTTCATTTTTGTTTTCAAATAGTAAAATCTATTTTCCCGTCAAACGACTGCATATTATAAAAAGTATCCATAGGAGCAGTCATTTAAAAGAAAAATTTGTCCAATAATTGAAATCACTCAAAAAAACACAATCCAAGCAATTAATTATCAATCAATCACAAGATTTGCAACAATAACAATCTAGAGCAACAAAGAAAGCAAGATTTCCAAGATTAACCAATCAATCTCTGCAATAAGTAGATTCACCAAAATCTTAATCTAATATGCAATTAGCAGATTCACCAAGATCCTAATATAATATGCAATCAGCAGATTCACCAAGAATTTAAAAAAGGAAGGGTTTAGCCTTTTACCAAAATCGATCTATTACCAACGATCGATTTTCCTGAAGATTCTGCCCGAGCTTTATGTTTGACAGATTTGACTTTGATACCACTATTGTGTTTTTATATACTAATCTGTCAAGCAACAAACAACATCAACTAGAATGTGTCCAACAAAATTGGTAGTAAAAGAGGCAGTAAATCAAATTTACATAACACAATCAAACATAATCCAAGATTAGGCAAAATATATGAAAGTAGAACTTGAACTTCCCTCTTTCGACCTTCTTCCGTCGAACACACCCAGTCACGCGCCGCAGCTCCGGCGACTTCCTCTTCCGGTGATTTCCAAGCGACTCGAAAAACGATTGGGGAAACTATTCTTACGGCTCAGTCTACAACCTAATGACTCACACTTAGGGACTAACCCAACCGACTCCAAACAAAACCCCAAACCAACGAACTCGATCAACCCTAAACTTCAATCGACTGATTTTCCCCAAAACCTCACAAAGAACACCCAGATGATCAACTTACCGAAGGAATCGAACAAGAACGACGGCGATTTCGGTGAAGAAGAGAACCCCAAACTTACCGAGAAGAACTCGAAGAAGAAGAACCAGAGGATAGGAAAACCCAGACTCACCCAATCGCTCAATGCACTGTCACGAATGAGAAAGGGGTCGAAGAGGGAGTTATAAGGTGCGGGTGCGGGTCGGGTCGGGTCTGGTCGGATTGGGTTAAAGGGTTTGGGTTGCGAGTTGGGCTTGGTATTGGGTTGGGCCAAAATATATCTAACAGTAATAATATATTAAATATATTTATCATTTAATATGTGCTTACAAAAAAATTTATATTTTTACTTAAAAAAAACTTATCATATTTATCATTTTCAAAACATCTCAACTACAGGTGTTTTTTTAATTAAAATCTATATTGTGTAGCTTAATAATATATTGTATATAGATTTACATGTACGAATGAAAGTCTTTTATATCGTAATCCACAAAGAAGCAGGAGGGGACAAAGACGAACGCGTGGTTCAAATCGACAATCTTACAATCGGAGGCAAAATGGTATGAATTATATTATCAATTAATATTTATTAATAAAATAAAATACTGCTTTATTAATAATGTGATATGCATTAAAATAATATTTTACTTATTATACTGATGAATAAATATTTGTATTTTTATTAGATGAAAATATTGTACCACATTTCGTTGAAAAACATCGACAAAAAAATACAAATTTGGAGATCGAAAATAGTATTGCCGATCAAGGTAATAATATATTAAATATATTTATCATTTAGTATGTGTTTACCAAAAAAAAATTATATTTTCACTTAAAAGATCAACTTATCATTTTTTTTTATTTTATTTTTATTTTGCATTGTTAGTATCAATTTACATTTGTTTAATATAATCAATTTTATTTGAATACAACTATAATTTATTGATTTTGTTAAAAGTATTTTTAATTAATCATAATCGTATTCATTGTATAATAATTTTATATATATATATACATATTATGTTATATATATTTTTAGGGGGTATTTGGCAAATAGCTTTTTGAAGAGCTTTTAGCTTATTGAACAACTTTTAGCTGTTTGACCAGTCAAAAAGCTAATTTAGGTGTTTGGTAAATTAGCTTTTTGGAATAGCTTTTTGGACCAAAAAAGCTAATTTCTGAAAAGCTAACTTACCCAGCGTTTTGAAATAGCTTTTTCTGTAAAAAAAAATTTTATTCCTTATATGCCCTTAAAAATTTATTATGCATTTTACACAAATAAATATATTTTGATTATTTATTAATTATATTAGAATATTTTATGATATTCTAGTTTTACTTTTATAAATTTAAAATAATTAATTTTTATATAAAAATTATTTTAATTGTAAAATATATAAATTTTTTAAAATCAACATAAAATAGAAAATATAAATATTAATAATTTATTTTATATTAAAATTACATTATATAAATTTTATACTAAAAATAAATTAAATAAATTAAATTTATTGAAAATTATAAATATAATGAACTAATCGATAACTAATATAATAAATATATACAGGAGAATTTATTATTTTATATTTTACATCATTTTCAATAGAAAAAAAATATTTATATATTTTAATAAAAATATATTATTTTTTAAATCTAATTGTAATAAAAATAAATACTTTTATAACACTTTTATAATTTTCAATAATTAATAACTTTAAACATTCTAAACTCAAAAGAACATAATTAGAACATAATTGAATATATTATAAACAAAAATAAAATAAAAATGTCCTCAATTGTCATTTTACATATAAACAGCTAATATCAAACAGTTGTTTTATCAAACATTTTAATACAAACATCTAATCGAATCAGCTAGTCAAAAATCAGTTAACAACTATCAGCTAATTAAATCAGCTAATAGCTAATCACTATAAGCTAATTGCCAAACACACCCTTAGTAAATTATAAAGTTACTAAGAATAATTATATACACATATATTATATAAATAACAAAAAATTTTAGGTTGTGTTTTGATTGTAAATTTTCATAGGTTTATCCTTACAATTTTTTCTATCAATCATATTAAATCAAATATTTATTTTAAAATAACTATAATTTATTGATTTTGTTAAAAGTAATTTTAATTAATATATTATATATTTTTTAGTCAATTTTAAAATTAGTATGAATAAATTATACACATATATATATTATATAAATAACAAAAAATATTAGGTTGTGTTTGATTTTAGTTTTTTTCTATCAAAAATATTATATCAAATATTTATTGTTTATATTTAATTATTTACAATTTTAAAAAAAATTCATAACCAAATGCATTTTAGTTTTCAAAATTATAACCATTCATATCATATATATATTAGAGTGGATTGGTGCGAAGAATATGCATGTATTATAAAAGAATTTTGATAATTATAATTTTTTTTATTTTTTTATTTCTTTAAATTTCAAGATTTATTGGTATTTTATAAAAATAATTTTACTTAAATTTTATGATTTATAGCTCTTATCCCTCGCACGTATATTATTTTATTTTATTTTTTACTTTTACTTATACTTATATTTGTATAATATTAAATAATTAATATTATATTTATTTCATAAATTATAATTAAAATATGTATACTTAAAATATGCAAAAATTAAATTATAAATAAATATATATAATTATATTACAATATATCTACCGTAATTTTACTGTAATTTAATTAAAAAAAAGACATTAAGGGGTGTTCTTTGAGCCTATTTACCTTCTTTATGTATTTTTCATTAAATATTTTCCTCTTTCAATTTTCTAGAATCTTCAATTCTTTATTATGTCTTTTTTTTTTTTTTTTTTTTTGCAATTTTCAATAGATTAAGTTTTTTTTTTATTTAAATTTTTAGCATTTATTTTACATTCTCAATTTGAATTATATTTTTTTGCCGTGTTAATTACAAAACTATCACAAGATAGCTCGGAGAAGAGATCGAAAAATCTATGAATGAATCGATTTCGGCATGCTTTTTCGATCCAACAGTCGATGATGATTTTTTTTAGGACAACACACTCCAAAATTTTAATTCCAATTAAAAAAATTCAAAAAAAAAAAGAACATAAAATAATATAAAAATAATAAATCGAAATTTAAATAAATAGAGTTTCAAAATATATATAGAATAATCAATTACTAAGATCTAAATAATGTTAATACAGGATTGAAAAAAATTTCTAATTGTCAAAATATTGCAGTATAAAAAGATCAAAATTTAAATTGCAAGTTAGGTTAAATTGAAAAAAAAATAATTTTTTCTCCCAAAAAAAAAATGCTGAACCGTTGGTCCGGTTGTTGACGGTTCAGATAATCCAGGAATCAAAACCGCTTGGATTCGGTTCGGCGGTTCCGTTTGAACCCGCCGGTTCGAAACCGGTTGGGCAAGTCTAATTGTCTAGTTTTTTAAAATATGGGCCAAGGCCGAAAGGCAACCAACTGTCCGTAGGAATATTTCTAGGGTTTAACACTAACAGCTAGTCGTAGTGCACCTTGCGAACCCTAAACAAGAAAGGTGCTGATAGGGGAAGCGAGGGGGCAATCATCGCCATCTTTCCAGGGAGGGAGCGTCGCTACACGCCTAATCGATTTCGGTTCAGAATCGATTTTTTGCATACACGAATTCGAAGGCCAAGAAGGAAGAAGTTATGAAGAATTTGAATAAGGGCTCTGCCCAATTTTCTTCTGCCAAGGACGGTGCCCTGGACTTCCTGGTTTGTTACATTATTTTTCACTACGCCAATTTAATTTGGTTCCATTCGTGTGCGTATGCGTTTCCTTTTCGATTTGGGAGAATTTTCTTTTTCTTCTTTTTCTTTAATGTTTGTTTTAATCTTGTAAGTGGTGTGTCTGAACTTCTCTGATTTTTGCGGGTTTTTGGATGGAAACAGCCGTTGGAGGGTGGTCCAGCGAGAGGTCTTCCGAAGGCTAATTTTCGGGAACGTAAAACGACCGTTTTGTATATTGGGAGGATTCCACATGGATTTTATGAGGATGAGATGGAAGGTGGGCTTGTATTCTTTGAACTTCATTCGTGGTTTGTTATGTAGTATGCAGTTGTTCGATCTTATGAGATTGGCATTTGCTGCAGCCTTTTTTAAGCAGTTCGGTAAAGTCAAGAGACTCAGGATTGCAAGAAATAGGAAGGTTGGTTCTTGTTACGCCATCTATTCTATTTGCGTTGCTATTATGTGAACGAACAGACTGAATTGGCTCTCTACACTTGAGCTTGAATAATAGATGCTGTGCATTTACAAGCATGTGATACTTCAAGGAATGCAAATTTGGGATGATATTGATTGTTTTAACCAAACGTGTTGGTGTTTTTAAATCTTCTAAACACTTCAAATTTGTGTAATTTACACTGGGTAATAATTGTAAATGTGTGTGTTCCATTATTAGAATAGAGAGGTCTAGAGGCCGACTGAATTGTTGTTGCTTTCTGTGCTATGGCTATGGAGATGATGACCCAACCTTTTACTCTTAAGACATCAAGCTTTCATACCTATATTATTATTATGTGAATTTAGTGGAGCCTGTCTAACAGTGGGACAAGAAAAAGGTGATGTTCTGCTTAAAGATGGCAGATTGACCTTTAATATTGTACCTGCATTGACTATGTTTGCAGAAAGATTTGTGTTCTGGATTTCATTCCTGGTGTGTTTACTCATCAATCTTCTTCAGCATGATTATCTGAATTTCCCCTTTACCATCTGGACACATGGCAAGCTTGATACTTGCTAGATTATCACATGTTTTCTTTGCTGGTTGATCAGATTTCTAAATTAGTGTGTGAAGTTAAAACACATAAAATCTGGTTGTAGCATTTGCTATATATTCTGCCAGTAACTTTGAATGAGTTGGTCTGCAATTTCATGGGCTTCTGAATGCTCTTGTTTATTGGTTGTTACTGGTGAATGAATTATGGAGTATCGCTACCAAAAATATCAATGCCCTAGTCGTCAAAGTGCCCTTTAGATTAATTAAATAACACAATTCTGAGCTTCACTTGTATTTTCATGAGCATCCAAGTCAGTGTGTTATCATTCAGTTTCTCTATTGATTTCTTCTTTTATGTGTTTGTACAGACTGGGAAATCAAAGCACTATGGATTTATCGAATTTGAATCTCCTGAGGTTATACACTTCTACTAAAGAAAGCATGTTACTATGGCCATACTATATCTCTCCTGCATTATATGCGTATATGTACTTTATCTCCCTAGTGCAACTAACACTATTTATTAACATGATTCTGATGAATTCCATGCTATGCATTCTCTTTAACTATTACAGGTTGCAGAAGTTGTAGAGGAATGCATGCATAATTATCTAATGTATGAGCATCTGTTACAAGTTCGTCTTGTACCCCCAGAAAAGGTTCATCCAAAATTGTGAGTAACTATTATTTCTAGTTATGCTATGTCCACTCGTTCTTAACGATTATACCAAAGGGTTATGTATGATAATTTAGAATACACCATCTTATGTGAGCTATGAGAAATGGAATAAAATGTATTACTAAAGAGAGGACTTCGATCTGCTGGTTTTGCATTGGTCCACCATGTGAAATCCTTATCCTTTAGGCTTTACGGAATCTTTGTACCTTTTGTCCATATTTTACCACATTAAGTAAGAAATTATAGGTATTATGCTTACTTAATTTTATCCTGAATAACTAAACAAAAGGGGAGTTTGGGTGAAAATTAGTTGAACGTCTTTGGTGCCCTAATTGTTCACCTAAACAAAAACTTTGAAATGCATAGACTTGCATATTCTATGAAAGCTTCAATAATGTTAAAAGAGCCTGCACGGGTTGAAAATTGTACGTTACAATGAATGCCCTTTTTGACTTCTTTCATTTCTTTTTCATGATTGATTAATTACGTATTGAACTTCATTTAGGTGGAAAGGTGTGAGCCGCATGCACAAACCCGTAGATTGGGTTCAAATTGAAAGGAAGCGCCATAACAAGGTACAGCTTCATCCATTTAATACTTTGATGCTTCTGTCCATTAAATTGCAATCACGTTGATGAACAAAACACGCTGTTCAGGAGCGGTCACTGGAGCAGCAGCAGAAGTTGGTTGCAGGAATAGTGAAGCGGGACAAGAAACGACACAAGAAGATCATGGATGCTGGTATCGAGTATAAGTGCCCAGAACTTGTAAGGACAATTTTTTCTCTGGTTTTTCTGTGATACTGATATCACCATTACAGACATATATACGTGTTTGATGAGCTTTATCGTCTAAACAAAATATTTCCTTTTAGCCTACTGCTGTAGAATTCTGAGTTTCTTGCTTTGTGCAGGTGGGCTGTACACAAGTTGCGCCGAAGAAGATTAGATTTGATGTTGATTAGGTCAGGTCGTTGTCACCATCTTTGAGGAGCTTAGCTTTATCATCGAATGAATGATTGGTTGTTAAGGTCATTAGCTGCTGTTATCACCATAACATGGCATGCCAATTTTATTATTTAAGTCAATATTGTACTAAAATGTGGCAATAGGGATTAAGGAATTGTTTAGGTTTTTGTGTGTCTGTTTTCCAGAAACTACCCAATTGAAGAAATGTTGACCTGCCCTGATACGATTCGTTCGATGATGTTTTAATTTTTGAGGTGGAAAAAAGAGTACAAAGCAGCTCAACGAGATTTGTTAATCGTGTAAGGACTGAATTTGATTTTGTTATGCATCATGCTTGTATCATTATTGACTTATGTATATGTTTATTAAATTACGTATGTACATTATCAATTAATATATTTTGTAATGAAATTTCAAATTATGGTGTGTTTTCTATTTTTCTTTTAAATATCAAAATAGAGTTTGTTCATACAACAACAAAATTTTGGTGCAATTTTCTATTAATATTATTAAAAATAATACTATATAATATCAAATATATATATATATATTTATATTGTTAGTATGTTTTTTTTACCTAACATAAAAAAAAAATTTAAAACTCAAAAAATGCAATATGCATCTATTATTCTTGGGTTTTAAAATATATTACACAATTTCTTAAAAATTGTATTAATTATTATTATTATTATTATTATTATTATTATTATTATTTTAATTTTAAAAAATATTGCATGAAATTCTCTAAATAGGTGGCTATTGTCTAATGTTATGAAAATACAAAGAAGTCTCATTTAAATTTTAAATCATAAGGAAGAATAGTATAAATTATTCAAACCACAAGTGTATCACATGTAATTTTGCTTGGTATCCATCCTAAATCTTACATCTTTTACTTAAGATTAAAATAACTAATTAAAAATAAAAAAAATTATAAATTAAAAATTTGAAAATGAGACTAAAATATTAATTCTTTTCTAAAAAAAAAAAGTGTCACGATAAGTAAGACGTATCGAAATAGAAAGGTGGACACAGTGAGTGGGACGGATGAAGTATAATTTTAAGGGAGTGTCCCTATTAGTAACTGAAACCTAATTTCTTTATCTAAAAGCTCATAATTTCGAGGGTTATCTAAAAGCTCATAATTTCAAGGGTAAATTCTTTGTGTTTTAAAAATGCACGAAATACTCTATATTTTATTTATTGCGTGAAACCTCTTTATGTTAAAGTAAAGTTTGCATGAAACACTCTCCTTGTCCAAAACTAAACTGATGTTTAGTTCTAAATAAAGACCTAAATTACGCAAGTTTTATACAAATAAAAAATGGTAAAATATCTTAAATAATTTTTTTGAATAAAATAAATAAATAAATAATTGATCAATAATTTATTTTTATAGTTTTTATAAAAATTAAATAACAATTTGTCTCCAAAAATTATAAAATAAAGGATTAATCAATTATTTATTTATTTATTTTATTCAAAAAAATTATTTAAGATATTTTGCGTTTTTTATTTGTATAAAACTTGCGTAATTTAGGTTTTTATTCTGAACCAAATATCAGTTTTGGCAAGAAAGGTGTTAGTGCAAACTTTAAATTAACACAATGCAGTTTTACGCAATAAATAAATTACAGAGTGTTTTATGCATTTTTACTTAAAACGCAAGGGAGTGTTATATAATTTACCATAAATTATATGATATTCTTTTGTATTTTTTAGTAAAAATGTATAAATTACATCATATTATGTTAAATTTTCTTATGTTAAACTAAAGTATATACATAATACTTTTTTTAGTCCAAGATACTCTCTTAAATAGTTTTTATTTGAATGAAACAAACAAAGAAACAATTCATCAACCTTTCACTTTATTAACAATTCGTTCTTTTGTTTTAAAAAAAAACTATTAAATGAATAATTGATAAGTTATTTATTATATTAAAAAAATACTACATTTTATCATTTTTAGTTGTATAAAACTTGTATGATTAGACGTGTTTATACAACCAAACACCAAATTTGAATAAAGAAGTGTTTCGTCTGTACTTTGATTTAACATAAGAGGTTCTACACAATAAATTAAATATGAGATATTTTATACATTTATACTAAAATACAGTGTGTTATATAATTTACCTAATTTCAATGCAACACAATTTTATTATTTGATTGGTTGTGGTTTGAAATTCATTTATAATGTAGTGTTTAAAATTACGTTTAAATAGTATTTTGATTAATATTTTATGAGAATAAATAATGTATTTTTATTTAAAACTGTACGATATGAATAATGTTAATTTCGATTTGAAATCACAACCAAACACATATATATCAAATGGTTACGGTTGATTATGGAATCTACTAGATCTAAAATCCCTTGAAGGAATATGCGTCCGAATCAAGAGATTAGTATTGGCCCAGGAATTACAAACAACGTTGGGTTCCAAATGTATTCTAAAGAGCCCTTCTAAATCCAAAAAGTAAGCCGGCCTAGATAACTCCAAGTGGCCTGAATAATAATCTGGTTTGAATAGTCGTAACAGATCTGGATAGTGAACCGGCCTGAATAGTTGCAGCAAACAGCTTGAACCCCAATGCCAAGATGACTATCTGTCATAAGTTGAATTGATGACTAATATACAACTACTAATCTGATGAAAATGAAAATAAACTAAAATATACTTAGACAATTAAAATAATATTGAATTTGAATGATAGATTGCTTGTTATTGTTTGTTCTTGGTTGAAAATAAAATATCCTATGATAGTCCCTTTGGTTGGACTCAAGTCATGATAGTCTTTTCGGCCGGACTCAGGCCAAACAACTCTAAAACAACTCGTAATTTTGGGAAAGCCATTCTCTTGGCCTTTGGGCCTAGCTCAACAAATGCCCTCTTCAAAAGGTATGGAGTAAGGTACGATGATAAAAGTCTGAATTCTTTTAGATAAATCATGGGATGTCCTCTTAATAATAATGGATTAGAATTTGGGATATCTTTCTCTGGTTAATACTCAGAGCAACAATCCCAAACGGTCTAGACCATTCTAGCTCTTCCAAGATCAGTCCCAAAACCACTACTCGAGACCACTATTCCTTCTGTATTTCTTCTGCAGACCTTGAGTTTTCTGTTGCACCAAACTAGGCCTTTGTTGTTCTTCTTGAAATATTGCTTTCCAGCATTTTTACGTGAATGATCAAACTTTAGCCTAAGTTAGTTCCTTGGTTGACCCAACTGATCAAGCCAAACAGGCCTTTCCAAAGGACGTTTGGAGAGGCCTGGCGTAGCCTAATGCCAATCGGCTGGCTTTTGTAGTCAACACATATTCTAAAATATTTTCAAAAATGCTCTGTAGTTTATTTATGATGGCATGTTTCTTATGCCAATCCCTCATTATTATTATTATTATTATTTTATATTTTGGTTGTTTCCAGGTTAACCTCCTCCCGTAGGTCTTCGGTCGGTCCTAAAGGTAGACCAAATTCTCCTTACTTAAAATGGTAACTTCTCATCCTCAGGCGTGGTCAACCCGCCTAACTATTTAAAAAGATATTTATAACTTCTCTTGGCTTATCTTAATGGATAACTCTCCATCTTGTGGGAGCCTCTATCTTCAACTTTTTTTTTTTTTTTTTTTTTTTTTCCGCCAAATCCTTCATTAGGTTCATGATTCATATGCCATGGATTGGTCCTTGGATGGATCTTAATCCCATGTTGCATGAGGCACATTCATAGTTTGTATTTCCCATGGTTGGAAAGATGACAAAAGAAAATGGTAGAATGTTCGAATGATAGAAAGTAACATCCCCTACCATAATTATTGCCGAAAATTGGTCTTTTTTAGTCTTAACCTCTTGGACGTCGTCCCAATTCCAAAAGAGCAAATTTTGGTAAAGTGTGGAAGGTACATATTCACATCAATGTATTCAATTCCTTCATAGTAACGCTTCATATAAGGGCTTGCTGTCAATAACAAGATAAGTTGATAGAATTTTTTTTATTATCAATCCGAATATTAACCATAGCAATCTTGGCTGGTTTGTAAGAATTCCCCATAAAGTCTAGGGATGGCAATGGGTCCGGGTAGACCTGAGACCCGACCCGGACTTGACCAATTTATTTGGGGTTGGGTTCAAATATTCGGGTCTAGGGTCTGGTTTGGGTCCGGGTCAAAAAAATTTTAAAGGTCAGGTCGTGTCTAGGGTCCAAGCATGGACCCGACCCGACCCGACCTGCCTTTTAATTAAAAAAAAACTTGAATTATATTATATTTCTCCTCACAAAACCTAGCATCAGGCCCTCTTTATTCTCACGCAGCCCCCTTCACCAATCTATTCTCACACAGGCAGGCGACACACCATCACGGTATATTCTTATCAATTTCTTCCATTTTCTTCATCTAATCCATTCTCCAACTCAATCTTTTATCATTAAGTATTGATGTTTTTTGTATAAGGGTAAGTTATTGTGTGTGAGATTTATTATTATTATTATTATTTTCTATTATTTGTTGGGTTTTGAGTATAAAAAAGTTAAAAGTAAATGAATGAAGAAATAATTATAATGGCGTTTTATTTTTTTTTTTTTTTTTTTTTTTTTTTATTTTTTTAAGTTTGAGTTCTAAATTGTAGCAACACGGTGGTTGTTAAGAAGAAATTTTTGTTCAGGTTGAGTTCGAAATCCAGGGGTGATGATTGATTTTTTTTTTATTTGTCGGTTGATTCAAAACTGAATCAAGATGATGGTGTTTTATTTATTTATTTATTTATTTATTATTATTATTATTATTATTATTATTATTATTATTATTACTGTGGAATTTTTATTTTTTTGTTCTGCTTGTTGTTTACTGTCCGCTTGCAATAGTACATTTAATAAAAAAAATTGATATTTGATAGTTCATAATCTTATTAATCTATTTGGTATAAAAATTAGAAATTAATTCAAATGCAGTGTTTCTTGAATTTAAATCCTGTGCTGCCTGTTGTCTTGTCTCATGCCTTTGCAATTTTTTATTTTTTTTTAAACTTAATTGATAATTCATAGTTCTCAAGTGCATTATTTTGTTATTTTGTAGATGGATTCCGAAGGAGTTGACAATTCTATTCCGTCGGTTAGCAGCATTCAGGAAAATATGAATACACAAGAAACTCCGGAAGAAAATACTAACAATGATAATTTGGAAACTAATGGCTCCACCGATTGTAAAAAAAAAAGGACATTGGAATGGTGGGATCATTTTGAAAAGAAAAAGATTGATGATGTGATATATGCAGAATGAAACTATTGCAAAGCCCATCTAAAAGCACCGAGTGGTTATGGAAAGACAAATTTGAAGAA